GTACTCACCAGCCCGTACGCTAATCTTAAATCCACTGTATTGAAAACTTGAGTCACTTGTAAAATGAATAGTCAAACTATGTCTATTCAACATCATCTCCTCAATACTGGGTTCAGTGACTATATCACCATTGACATATAAGTGGTCACAACATGTTTCCATGTTAAGTCTTATGACTTGAAAATATATACTAGCGCCCTCTTCTGTTGTAATGATTGAATTACAGTCGGTGTCTGCAGGGTAGTTTCCAGGATAATTGGGAGATACAATGGTAGCACTCTCTCCAGTTGCCAAGGAACGACTTTCACCACACGTCATATCAGCAGACAAATTCAATGCTGCAACAATAGCACATATTTACAATCAATATGGTTTCAAGACTAAAACTACTGATTCATTTTACTTTTAAAGTACATTTTGTATGGATGAAGGTCTTAGGTTCACTAATCAAATACTTTAAAAACATCACTGCGCATACATTAATTTATACATATATTCATATAATAAATTTAGAATTATATAGCACAATGTGGTATTTCTAAATTTCACTTAAGATATCGCTGAATAATGAATATAAATGTGATTATTGGTTTTAAAGGTAGCATGCAAATTGTTATATTGATGATATTGATTATATTGACGGTTTTGATGAATGTATTTATTATACTAGTATTTTATATTGAAGATCATAATTTACAGTTAAAAGTATCTACTGGTTGTATATTTATTTCTTCCAAGAAATGTTGAATACAATTTAAAACTGAATATATATAAAAAGGCACATCATCCACTTCATTGATTTATCTTGAAACGAACATGAACGTTGTTTTGCAGAGAGCCATACAATTGGTTGTTGTATTCCTGTATCTTTTATTTGCTAATCAATGTTTTTTTTATAAACACTCTTTAAATAAAATCGCGAATACAAGAGTTGTGCTGATGGTTTTGAACACAAATAATTTTAAAATTACTATCTGAATAAGATGCATCAAATACGTCATTTAAACGGATGCACATAGTATATAGAATAAATGATATAAAAGTTGCCTGTGCAATTACAGTCAGTTATAATGTTAATGATCACCGAGAAGAAAATGGGAATGGGTGAAGTTGAAGACAAAATTCTGTGATGGCTACACATAATTGGAGAGTACTGTTCATAGCATGCCTAGAATATGTGAAAATATCTCACAGATACTGTCATCTTCAGAATAACATTTTATGACATTATTTTCTCAAAAACCTACATTTAATTTACATCGTTAGATGATTAATTTGATGAAGTTTATAACGTACATGCCCCTGTGGGTAGTTCTAGGGGTGACGCAGAGACTGTTTACTTAGTATTCCATCGGTTGCAAATCGAAACTTAATCACAAAATAATGCGGCGCGCTCTAATAAGAAAAGTAAAAAGCTTTTGTAACATAACAAAGCCGTATAGTGTTGGTACCACAAATAAACATGTCAATGCAGGAAATTATTACAGTAATGGTGAGCTGATTTTCTTGAACTATGTCTCTGTCATTCAATTTTATATTGCATAATCATGTTCTCACACTCTTCATGCCCATTCACCTGTAAATAGAATCCAGTTAGCTGAACAGAACCATCACTCACAATATTGACAATTCAACAAGTCACACTACGTATAATTTCACAATATCAAAACTCTTACCTGAAGTGACACGCAATTTGAATCCTCTACCGGAAATTAAGGAATCACTTCTAAATGTGAGGGTAAGAACGTTCCCATCGGGGATCTCCAATCTCCACGTGTCACCGCAGTTCAATTGCGTATGCTGATTGACAGTCAACGTGTCGCAACAACATTCTAAATTGACCTCTATGCTTTCAATGAATAGCTTAGCCCCAGTTTCGGATGAGATTCTGGTTTTGCAGTCAGTCATGCTTGGGTGAAAGCCAGGGTAGTTAGGAGATGTTATAAACACTTCATCTCCCACAGCAAGGGTGGCATCTTCTCCACATGCTATTGTGTCTTGTGGTGACGAATCTGTGTTTCCTAAAGCAGCTAATTTAATATGAAATATAGTGCTAAAGATACAAAGTGATGTATGACATTTAAACTAGCCAGGCAAAGATACGACAGTAACAGACTCGTGATTAGTTTTTTTCCATGATCTAAAAATTGCATGATTCGGTAAAATTTTCTGTTAGAGTGATTTTAGTAGTTGTTGTCAGGATGTAGTTCAGATAATGTTATATTGGCAACTATTTAAATCTGACGATTCCCCATTGATATTGGATTTAATTAACGCAATATTGCATACAAATACTATAATGTTTACTCACATATTTTAAATTCAAAACCTTCATCTTGTGTAATCATGTCACTGTGAAATCTAATAGCTAAAGAGTCAGTTTGAAAATACAACACTTCTCCCAAGAATGCAAGACCAGAATAGTGGAAGTTTTCAATTCCAGAGTACTCTTCCTCGCCATCACCAGAACCAGATCCAGATCCCGAATGAAAACCACTATAGTCAAATTTATCATCATTGTCATCATCTTCAATATCCCATTCAGACGACGGATCGAGCGTCACGTAATCAAATATAAACTCAGTTTTAAAAAAGTTAAAGTGTACCCGGATCGTTGAACCTAAGGTGGTCTCTATTATTGAGAGGCAATCGTATTGTCTTGGATATTGCTGAACAGGATATCCGGGAGATATCAATGTAATGTTATCTCCGGGTCGTAGGTATGCATCATCGCCACATTCGATTGCTAGAAACACAAACAAACAAATAATACAATTCTGTTAATTTTAGTGTGATCATATTGCACTGACAGGTGTTTCAGGTGTCTTGCTTGGACGTGTTTTTTGTGATATAATTTCTGTCGGCATAATTTAGTGCATTCTCTTATATAAACGTTCTGCTGGTAGTATATCGACGGCAGAAGGTTAAGTTAGTACGTAAGTTTCGAAAGTCGGACACACGCATGTTTTATATATTATTAATTGAAACCTTACAGTTATATATATTTATATTTTAATTATTTATATTTACTGATAGCTTGTACATCGCAAGCACGGCATATTTTTATGTATTTTGTTTTAACTCGTACGTTGCGAGCATATTTCATAATATTTATTAATAGCTCAAACGTCATAAGTATTAATTATATTTATTTACTAATAACTCGTACATAGTGCGTTGCAACATGAACGTACTCATGAGTGTTAGTAATAACTATACATTGAAGGTACCGCATATTTGTGAATTAAATTTACCGAGATGATCGGTTTTACAATTATATACTAAACTAGTTTAAGTAATTGATTTTTAAAATAAAAAGTGTTGAAGGTTTACATAGACAAACGCACCAGACGAATTTTTGTAAATTAACCATATTTTTATCGGTTGTGTATGTATAATTGCTGAACACATCGACATTACATTTTGTAATACGTTAACTTCGACAATAATTCCTGGCTGAACATTGACTTGTTTTATACAGGAAATTAAAATAATAACGTAATTAATTCTTGAGAATTACCCAATTTATGCTTAATCAATTCCTCATTTGTAACATTCTTGTCTTATGTTATTAGTTCTTTGTACTACCTGTAATCTATGGCAAATAACTAATAATAATAATAATAATAATGTCTTTTTTAATGGAGACTCTATAATTTACACGGAAAACATATGGTAAGGCCCATGAATCAAACAGTTTGTAGTAAATTTTGTCATAAGCAAGGCTGGCACTTGCACGACTTTTAGCCACAATTTCGTCGTTGCAAGTCGTGCCATTTGGGGGCACGAACTGGAAGGCTCCCGCACTGTTCACAAACGTAAACTAGTCGTGAACTGCTCGTGCCATCAATGCGTGAAGTACATGTGACCGTGTCAGTGGAAAGGCACCAATTCGTGAACATGTTCGTGAACTATTCGTGGCAGTTCGTGATAGTCGTGGGATGGCGCGCACTGGTACGAACTGGCACGCATCGTCCCGACGAGTTCACGAATAGTTTGCGCATAGTTCACAACCCACTCGCTAAATGTTGTCGTTACCAACATTTTGAACATTTCAAAATTCTCGTCCCGACAATGGCACGCACACTTCACGCCAGTTTACGACTAGTTTCAGCCTTGCTTTACACCTCTCCCATCGGGCCATCGTAAAGCCAGCCTGACACTTGAACAATTTTGTGTCACGCATTGGCACGAATCAAGTTGTGCCAGTGCGCAAACTAGTCGTGAACTGGCGTGAAGTGTGCGTAAACACGTCGTGACACGTCGTAACTGCGTGCCATGTCGGGACGAGAATTTTGAAATGTTCAAAATTTTGGTCACGACAAAATTTTAGCGACCGGGTCGTGAACTATGCGCAAACTGTTCGTGAAATCGTCGGGACGATGCGGGAGGATGCGTGCCAGTGCGCGGCAATGCGTGCCATGCCACGACTGTCACGAATAGTTCACGAACAGCTCACGTCGAGTTCACGAGTAGTTCAAGACATGTTCACGAGTTGGTGCGCGTTGCAGCGTGGCCGTGCCTTCCCACTGACACGCTCACGTGTACGCATTGATGGCACAAGCAGTTCACGACTAGTTTACGCACTTCGCGAACAGTTTGTGCATGACACGAGCAGTTTACGACAAGTTCACGAGCAGTTAACGACTACTGTGCGACAGTGGCTCGAGTTGGTGCAGGGCTTCTTGGACACTGCTCGCCATTCCAGAGAATGGTTTCATCATCCAGGTTCGGAGAGCAAATGCGTCATCCCCTACGAAGTGATAGGGCACTGGCTGGTCATCATTAGGGAGTGGTTCTGATTGAGGCACTCCAGCTCTGTTCTCTTCTACAGCATCGTGCAGGGAACAGTTACTCCATGTTCCTCCATCCGACGCACCACCCTCTGCCCCAACATTCACATAGAGGAATTTGTAGGTAGCATCTGCCACTGCCATCAGTACAATGCTGTGGAAGCCCTTGTAGTTGTAGTAGTAAGAGCCAGCATTGGGTGGTTTCTTCATGGCCATGTGCTTGCCGTCCACAGCCCCCAGACAGTTATGGTAGTTCCATCTGGTGCTGAACGTGGCAGCAACTTCCTTCCACTCCTCTTCAGTTTTGGGGCAGTGCAGCACTTCGTCCTTGTAGACCGTGATGATGGCTTTTACACACCTCGGGTATGAACTTGCAGATGGTACTTTCTTCAACCCTGAAGCTGTACTGCAGACTTGGATAGGAATTTTCAGTGGCTAGGAAGCGGAGGGTGATAGCCAGCTTTAGTCCAACTTGAAACAGTTCCCTCATGAAGGTGGACTGCTTCTGGAGGCGAGGGGTTAAAGGGGTTAACAGGTCAGGTGTGATTCTGTGGTAATTTTTGTAGTCCCTTTGATCTTCCTTGTGGAGTTCAGTCAGTAAACTATCATACTGTCCAAACTCGTGCCTTCTGGTCAACCATTCCCTGGCCCACACTTTCCTTTGTGTCTCTCTTCGGGGTGGGGTTGTCTTTCTTGCTCTTCGGCCTCTTCCAGCCTTTTCTGCTGCTCTTCAACAATGGCTAGAGCAGCTGCCAGGTATAGGCATCTTCTCTTTCCTGCAATGATTGTGTCTCTGACATTCAGCATGTTGTCTCTTCCACAGCCAATCCAAAAATGACCAAGGGTTGGGGAGGCCCCCTTTTTATATGGCGTGCCCAAGTTGGCACGACACCGTCCGAATTGCGCAAACTCGTCGTGCCAATGCAGGAAGTGCGTAAACTATGCAAAAACTATGTGTGAACTCGTCGTGCCAGTTCGTGTCAATGTAGATACTGACGGGCACGCCTTCTTGAACTCGTCGTGAACTTGTCGTGAACTATGCATGAACAAGTTGTAAACAGTGTGGGAGCCTCCCAGTTCGTGTCCCAAAATGGCACGACTTGTCACGACAAAATCGTGGCCAAACGTCATGCAAGTGTCAGCCTGGCTTCAGATCATTTGTACATCATTATCATGCAGCAAACTAAAAAATACACTTACTGGGTTCAAGAACACGTGTATGCTTCGGTATAAGCAATTGAGTTCCATCACTGTTTGTGGCCTAATTGGAGAAATAGAATAAATATTTACAACGCAGTGCGAAGTTACAAGGCATATAAAATACATTGTTTAATAGTACAACTCACAAGGATTGTGTCGTTGCGTGACAACTTTGGCTCTACGTGATGACTTTGGCGCTGCGTGACGACATTGGCGCTGCAAGTCGAATGTGGTACTTTATGGTGACTGTGACATGCATGATGACTATGGAGGTGCGTGGCGAGTGTGGCAATTCACGATGTGTATGCATATGAAAATGTTATTTGTTTACCATCTCACCGACACTATGCTGTGTGCCGGGGTACAAAAATAAATGAATTTACATCAGAGAGTTTGTGAGGGCAATATCACGATTTGTTGCCCAGTGGGTGATGATAAATCTCTGATACTGGTTCTCCAACGAAATAACAACACTATTTGAAGTATGTAGTAATTTATTTCGTGTATTATAACAAGTGACACATTATACAAATGTACACACCCCAACAGAGGTAGACATACACTTTTAGCGACCAGAAGAGCTCATTGTCAACCGACTAAATCTAAAAACAGAAATTGTGGCACTTCTTCTCCTCTGGGGTTCTCCAACATGTGTCATGGGGAATACACGTCTGTCCCTATATCTCGTCTGCTTGAGGTACAAGATCGAGAACGTCACTTAAACTCTACAATCAAGTAGACGCACACAACGCAATACGTATCAACGCTTGTCTTTAGTCGGTCAGTCAAGTACTCTATAAGACACAGCACCCTGTGAAAAAGTCCCCAAGACTATTGAAAGGCTGACCCAAGACTAGACTTCGTCTCTAGTGGTGTTCTCGCCAAGACAAACTAAAACTCTTTTATTCACTTTAAAAACCTTAACCAATTACAAAGAAGTTTAAAGACTCTAAGGCGTGGCCTTCACACATACAGCCAATCACACTAAGTACTGGACACGTCATATCTTTTGATTAATCGTCCACTATATTACTAACTGCGAATACTCAACTGTCAGAAACAGTAGTCCGGATAGCAACGGTCATAACTTAATTAGTTCCAAATCACTGAGTCATGTTTCGTCCAGGACCTCGCATGAGCCTAAATGATGACATACATAACACAGCCATTCATGAGTAATCAACTAAATAAGTCGGACAACAGATATATGCAAACTAATTCATGACAGCAAACTTAAGTTCACGCTTGTAGATCTGAATGCATGTATGTACACAAAATATACAAGTTGAAAGAGTTCAAGAGCAGTGATTGAATTCTATTAAGTTGTATCATGGACGCCTTTTTACTTTCATGGTAGTTTAGATAAACTTAATTTCAACAGCTTCAGTCTGACGAAGAATTGATTTCGCAACAACATCCTGCGCCATCCTGTGCGCAGCTATACACTACATAGCATTCCAGTTCGCATTACATGTAGAACACTGACACGAGCTGCACATGGAGCTGCACACTGCTTGAGTATCAGTTTATGTCAACACCATTCTCTTTCAACAAATACACTGTACATAATATGTCAATATACTGTCAAAACACACAAAATACATAAGAAAATCAAACAAAATTTAAAAAAACAAAGAAAGTTTTAATGTGCCAGGAAAAATTATAAATCAGCAACAACATTAAAATTAAAAAAAATAAACCAAAGACATAGTCTAGATTCAGGACTAGTGCTCTGTCTTAATTGACGGGACATGTTCGGTAAAATATGCACGTCTTGTTCGTGTTTTCTGACGTGGCTCATATGTATCGTTTTATATTCCAAGTCTAATCAAAAGCAAAAAAGGTAACAGGGACTATGTTATAGAATTGACTTTTTATATACTGATTAGATCTGCTAATTATCCTACAGGAAGTTAAAATAATAGCGTAATTAATTCTTTAGAGTTACGGAAATTACACGGAATCAATTTCTCTAACAGTATTATGTAACTGAACAGACGTAACATACATTTGGATTGAATATATAGCCATATTGCGGGAGTTAAATAGATTTTGAAAGTGGTAGTTATGTCAGATTAGAAAATACATATGTGACCCACATGTGCACATTATAAGCCACATTGCATCAAAATGCACACTAAATATAGCTATCAGGAACTGCTATCATTAAGCTGCTTTCTTATAGACATATACAAAGAACTCTGAACAAAATAACTGTCGGAACCAAACGATCACGAAAATGAAGTGTTATTGCCTGAGAGAAATAGGCGACAAAAGATCGCTTTTTGTCCAAATAAGATCATGATTTCAGCCCAGAGGTTATACTGATTGGTGCTAATAGATATACATATGTATGGAGTGTACATACCTGAATATATTCGACTGCGGACACTTTGAGACCAAAGCACAATAACAGAAGTAGAATGACCATGGTCTGATAGAGGGTGAGAACGTGTATCTTCCGTCGTTTGTATTAATTTTGTTCTGCAAGAGAAAAATGTTTGATTTATACTCATTCAAAATTAGATTTAGGAAATTACCGATTAATTATTGTATTGCAATAACAATCGAGAGGAATATGTAAATTTATCTTGTATTAAAATGTAATTGTTCTAATTAATGAAGTATCAAATATCGAATCCAATGACGTTCTACAGATAAATCTATTAACTGCATCAATCATACATGGTTGCTGGGCCAACCGTAGCCGTGGGACACAACAAACAATAATAGTGTCAATATGGCGATTGATGCCATATTTGCATATTTCATCTTGTTACATGGCCTCGCTCGCATCGCAAACTAGATAAATAATGATGGAAAAGTTTTGGGACAGGAATTCCTGAAACTTTGCTAAATTAGTCGTTGTGATTGGGTGATTTAAATTCTGAAGAAATAAACTTGGAATACCTGAACTGGTTTATGAATTATGAAGCTCAAAGGTATGCATTTCTGCATGCTCATTCCGAGAGAAAAGAAAAAAGGTAATTATTGAGAAATTACGTGCCATAATAAACTACCATTTATGTTGTTAAATGACTTAATACTGAGCATATATGTTATTAAAACAATGTATTTGATCATATCGCAAATTCACTTATGCAAATGAAGGATCGGTTATTGGATTGGTTTTAAGTTAATGATAGTGGGATAAACGAAAATGGATTACCTCATTGGAGAAACACATGCAACATAGGCAAATGTGGGATCTTATTTTTCATTCCACAAATAATGCCCCAATAGATTCAGTCATATAAAGACTACAACAAATGCGCACGCCCACTAGCTCATATATACTCACATTTTAAACAAGATATTTTTTGTGGTATTTTCAAATCTAGCAGTTGTGGTGCAAAGAAAGGTTATTTTTGCAAGACAACACTATCAAGTTATAATAGTTATAAGCTATAATAGTCTTACTGCACACTAATATATATAGTTTCAAAATGGCCCATTTTTGCTTATTTTTATTCTTGCTACCATTGTCAGTAACAATTTACAATAAACGCTTTAGAACTGAACTAGAACTGAGTGTAACTTTGGTATAATTGTTGAACTAGAACTGAGTGGAACTCTGGTATAACTGTTAAACTGAACTGAGTGGAACTCTGGTATAACTGTTGAACAAGAACTAAGTGGAACTCTGGTATAACTGTTGAACTAGGACTAAAGGTACTCTGGCATAACTGTTGAACTGAAATGAAAAGGATTCTGGTATAACTGCTGAACTAAAACTGAATGGAATTCTGGTATAACTATTGAACTAGGATTGGGTGGAAATCTGGTATAACTCATGAACTAGAACTGAGTAGAACTCTGGTATAACTGTTAAACTGAACTGAGTGGAACTCTGATATAACTGTTGAACAAGAACTAAGTGGAACTCTGGTATAACTGTTGAACTAGGACTGAGTGGAACTCTGGTATAACTATTGAACTAGAACTAAGTGTAACTCTGGTATAACTGCTGAACTAGAACTGAGTATAACTCTGGTATAATTGTTGAACTAGAACTAAAGGTACTCTGGCATAACTGTTGAACTGAAATGAAAAGGATTCTGGTATAACTGCTGAACTAAAACTGAATGGAATTCTGGTATAACTGTTGAACTAGGATTGGGTGGAAATCTGGTATAACTCATGAACTAGAACTGAGTAGAACTCTGGTATAACTGTTAAACTGAACTGAGTGGAACTCTGATATAACTGTTGAACAAGAACTAAGTGGAACTCTGGTATAACTGTTGAACTAGGACTGAGTGGAACTCTGGTATAACTATTGAACTAGAACTAAGTGTCACCCTGGTATAACTGCTGAACTTAGAACATAGTTGAACTCTAGTATAATTGTTGAACTAAATTAAGTGGAACTCTGGTATAACTGTTGAACTGAACTGAGTGGAATTCTGGTATAACTGTTGAACTAAACTAAGTGGAACTCTGGTATAACTGTTCAACTGAACGTAGTGGAACTCTGGTATAACTGTTGAACAAGGACTGAGTCAAACTCTGGTATAACTGTTGAACTAAACTAAGTGGAACTCTGGTTTAACTGTTGAACTAAACTAAGTGGAACTCGGGTATAACTGCTGAACTAGAACATAAAT